TGCATCCATAGACGCTTCTAGAGCAAAGCCCAGGACATCATTCTCCCATTGTACTTGGCCTTGGTGAGGCCGCAGCTGGAGTACTGCATCCAATTTTGGGCTCCGTAATTCAAAAAGGACATGGAGAAGCTCGAGACAGTCCAGAGGAGAGCCACACGCATGATCAGAGATCGGGAAAACAGACCTTACGATGAGAGGCTGATTGCTGTGGGACTCTTCAGCCTGGAGAAACACAGGCTCAGGGGTGATCTGATGGCCACCTGTAAGTTTATCAGGGGTGCTCATCAGGATCTGGGGGAACGTCTATTCACCAGAGCACCCCAAGGAATGACAAGATCGAATGGTTACAAAATCTTCCGTGACCATTTCAGGCTGGACATAAGGAAGAACTTCTTTACGGTCCAAGCCCCCAAGGTCTGGAATAGACTGCTGCTGGAAGTGGTTCAAGCACATAGTTTGAACACCTTCAAGCGACATTTGGATGTTTATCTTGCTGGGATCCTATGATCCCTGCTGACTTCCTGCCCTTTGGGCAGGGGGCTGGACTCGATGATCTCTCAAGGTCCTTTCCAGCCCTAATGTCTATGAAATATGCTTAAAATTAAACTGACATTCAAGTAACTTCCTGACCTTAGGCCACGGAAATCTCTATGAAGACTGAAGATGGCAGAGGGAGTCTTTGACCTAATGCACTAGACTCTCTCTGATAAATATAATGTGATCACAATAATATTGGTCATTCCAGATTCCTCAAGTGTGAATGTGAAATTTGATTGGGTATATCCAAGTATCTTATGATTAGAGCCAACACCCTTTACATTGACAAAAATCTACAGAAACAACTTGACTAACTTGACTATGGTCAAAAGATATTACTTGTGTCCAGCCACAGACAGTGCAAGAGAAAAAATCAGACTGAATTCTTTGGGGCAGTATGCAATCTGATCATTCCCAGACCCCTTGCTTAAATCCCAATCCCCCAGCATCCAAGCATGCTTTCCCACCCTGGGCTGGGCTGTGCTATCTGCTCGAAAGAGCAGAGCTGGTCCCACACCTCTGCTCCCTAGCTGGAGCAATGAGGGCTGGCTAACAAGGGGTAGGGCAGGGCAAGCCCAACTGGGGATGCAGTCCAGTCTGTGGGGGCAGGGGGCAGCAAGGACTGCCCCCCCTAGCAAACCCCAACTAGGATCTGGGGCCAGGGAGGGGCGTTAAACACCCCTTCCCCTGCTCAGACTTACTACTGGCTACAACCATGGACTACAAATCCCAAAGGTACTTGGAAGCAGGAAGAGGAAGTGATGATCAACCCTGCAGAGTTCTGCTGCTGTAATTCTGGACTGCAAATCCCAGAGAACTTGGGGGCAGCAGGAAGAGGAAGTGAACACACAGCCAGAGAGCCATGCTCTAGTGCCCCCTGTCTTCTGGCCTCAGCCACTGCAGGCATGTGGGCTGCATTTCCTGAATCAAAGGAATCTGTTCAATTCTGTTTCAATTTAATCTCTGCAGTTTAGATTAACCTGCAAAGACTGAATCAAATCAGGCTCAGGCTTTCTGACTGTCTGTACTTAGCCCTGAACTAAAAAAACTATCATCCTCAGAACTGCTCTATCTAGCTCACTTTCACTTGTTTTGAAGTCATGGTCATCTGCTTTCTCCAAGGCTCACCAACTACATTTGTGACCCTGGGCTATCCTGATTCTTTAGCATATAGCAAGGCTGTGCTACCAGTATTAACAGGTGCTTCTGATCTTTTAAGTGAACTGACTACCTTTTAGAAAAGAAAACTATTTGGTGTTTGTCACTTACCATCAACCCTCCTTTCAGACTCTGCTGGTTTCAGAATGCAGGGAACTGGTTACTTTGTTTGTACTGGACCTGTCAACAACATCTGATACCCTTGATCATGAATATTATTTTAACAAATAAGGGAGACTGCTGCTGAATCTGGTGTCATCCTCAGGTTGTCCCAATCATTCCTAAAGAGCAGTAGTCAGATGATGCTGATGGGCAAGCATGTCTCATTTCTGTTAGATATAAATGTGGCAAACCCCAACAATCTATAAGACGATTCATATTTTTAGTTATTTGAAGACTCTCAGTTAAGATATTTCTAAACTGAATGGGTATCATTAGTTCACTGATGAAACAATTGTAGACCTTTTGCCTCACAATCACTGCTCTGGAGGAGTGTTTTGAAAATACTGGCAGATGAATGCATTGTAACTGCCTTAATTTCAACAGAAGAACAAAAACCTTGCTGGATGCATGCAGACACTCATTTTCTTCATGCTTTTTCTTCATTAAGCTAGGAAGTCAGGTAACCCATCTGAGTTCTGGCAGCCCAATAAAAACGTGTGTAATTAGTGCCACATTCATCTCTCAGTTTTGCCATATAAACCTGTGCTCATAAACAGGAGGCCAAATTAAAGTAATCATTTTAAAGTTTTCAGTTGGGCTTTGTGACGGCTTGCATCTGTTTCATAATACAGTGGCATAATTATTAAGTGTCAAAAACAACATTACACCTGCTTTGCATTCTTTATAGTGGTTGCTTAAAACATAGCTGTTAACAAATATTACAGAAAGCAAGGAGCTCATTGTCTTGTGAAAAAGTAGCATTTCAGTGTGGACCAGCTGCCTGTAAAGCTCAGCCCAGGAGTTAAGGAGTGGCACAACAGTGTGATTTGAATTTTGGCTGCTATAACCTCTCACAGAGCTTAACTTCAAAGCAAAGATACAGCTGCTTCTCCCTGCTCTCCAAGGGCATTCAGCAGTTCAGGAATTTAGCAGTAGAGATGTGGTGGGGCAGCCTTCAAGTTTTCTTTTACTTCAATATCTCAGTTGGGAGAACCCAATTTAGCTCTTTAAATTAAAATCAAACTAAAGCAGCTGTGTCAGGGGACAGTGGCAGAGACTCTAGGGCACAGAAAAATCCAGCAACTTACAACTGTTCTTCATGTGCTTATTTAGTGATTAAAAATCCACAGGAGTTGAAAGCGGGGCTCAAAATGTTCCTAAGGTAAAAAAGGCATCTGGGAATACAGTCAACAGCAACAGTTTCAAGAAAACAGGTTCAAGCAGAGGAAGAGGAGTAACATCAATAAGATGTATTTCTTAGACAAAAGAAAAATTCTAATTCTCTCCCTCACAACCTTATGTCTTTTTTCATACTGTTCTCTACACTTGGAAAGTCTATTAACTTTCGTATCTCTCATAAAACTTATTCCTTCCCAGCTACCCTTCTCCTATAGTACTTCTTCCAAAATCTGCTGCTGGTGGCCTCAATACTACATTTAAATAGAGCTGGGAAAGAAATGTGACTTTTCAGGCCCAATAACTGTAATTCTATTTCTTGTTAACTTCCTCTTACAAATGAAAAATTCAAACAGAAAATTATTCCAAATAACAGAAATGAAGATTTGTTTTTAAAAAATCATTAAGAAGTGCTGGAAAAGTGTTCTACTATTTTAAAATGTAAAATATGACTAACAAAGAAACTATTTTAACAAAGCCTGAAAATTCTAAATGTGTCCATGTATTCATGTAATTATATACACATTTGTACTTTTACTATTCTGAAGTCAAAACTCCAATCCTTTGCTCTGGAACACTTGCTCATCTTTTAGACACATGTTAATAAGCAAGCAGACTCCTCAATTAGCCCCAATCAAATCAAATAACCCAGTGAAACAAAAATATAAGACAGTTTAATTATTGTGTCCATACAATCCCCACACTGCCCCTAAAGGCCCTCCAGGATGGCGCAAAGGTGGGTTTTACAGCCTGCCTCAAAGGCTAACATATTCCTGAAGTTAAAAACAAAGAAAAGGGAAAGAGTTTCTAAGGTCACAGGCTCTAATGCCCTGCCAGTACAGGCAGTCCTCAACTTGCAACGTTTCGAGTTACATTTCGCACGTACAACAACGTTTACAAGTTGACACCCTGTTTCAACTTTCTGACGTCAGTTTTGACTTTACAACACTTGATCTGACGCCAAACCACGCCAGTGAACAAGTTCGATGCATCACCCATCTCCCTGGAGAACATCTGTCCAAACTTCCTTGGACGTTTTCTTTAAAAAAGCACACAAGACTCCAGAAAAACCTGCAGCCAAGACTCCTGAGAAGACTCCCACCAAGAGCCCTTCAAAAAGTCCAACTAAGAGCCCTTCAAAAAATCTCCTCAAAGAAGTCCTTCCAAATCAATATGATTGCTATTTATAGTATAAATACATTATATTAGCTATATTACTAATCTATAATTGATTGAGTACAAAATTCTGGGTTATTTTTTGGTGAAAATAGGGTATTGGGCCTTGGTTCAGGAACCAATCCCCCATTTATAACATTGTTTCCTATGGGAAAATCAGTGCCAAGTTACAACGTTTCGACTTAAGATGTGGTTTTCAGGAACCAATTGTGTCGTAAGTCTGAGGACCGCCTGTACTTTGTCACTCTTATAAAAATGAACTTTAGCCCCGTTGATTTATTCCTACTGATTCATTAATCACTTGTCTCCATTCATCATTTACTTTATGAACAGTTGCTATTGTCAAGTCCTTGAGGCACGGGATTCATCTTCTAGCTCATGTTAGAATTGTCATATGTACATATAGCATTCTCCTACCATAGATTATGTTTCCCAGTCTACATCCCTGGACTATAAATCCACCTCTAACTTTAGCTCTATGTTTCACAACACATCCAGGATGCAGGCCAACAATCCAGAGACATGCGTTTTACTTGCTCTATATATCCCCTAGCTACACACAAGGAAATTTTAGGATCTCTTCAGTTTTACTAAGTCATGCACAGTTCTGTGTGAAAATGGCTAAAAGAGGGGATTTACATACTCTACCACATACAGAAATATCATTAACAAAAATGGATTTGTTTGCCACAGAACTTGAGAACAAAAAAATTACAGTAAGTAACAAAGTCAAGGGACTTCTGACTTTCAGCTGTGTTTGTCAGTGCCTACTACCTGTTATAGGTACTTACGTTCCATAAAATAAGGGCCAGGTTCAATTCGCCATACAATTTGCCCTTTTTGTGTGCCAGTCACTCCCCGGTTCTTGGAATCCCAGAAATTAGCTGGAGAGTTCTCATCTAGAAGAGCAAAAAGAAAAAATGTTCTCTATAATGGTAACAGTAACAACAGCCATTAAAATAAATGGGTATTCGTCCCGTCATGTGATGATAGGGGCCACTGGACTTGACATTTAATGACTAATCAACAGTTAGTAAAGAAGTATTTCTTCATAACATGTTTTTAAGGTTGATTGTGGCTCTTAAACTGACAGTAAGAAAGCAAGACTAAGTTCTGAACATATCATAGTTTATGTTACAAATAACATTATTAATTTTATCACAGTTGTTGATAGTTTTTATCCCCCTTCTCCCCACACACACTGCTTCCTTCCACCCACCAAATGAAAAAGGAGTTTGAAAGATTTTACTTGTAACTGTCAGTAAATGCTTTGCTCTTAAAATCAGTTTTATTAACATTTGAAAATGTATAATAAATCTTTTGAAAAAAGGGAAAAACCACATAACACAAAGATCACAAGACAACTGCTAATCTACCTTACAAAAAGTGGAATATTTGTTTGCAGTGGTTACTCATTCAGTCCAAGATGATGGAATTCCTGGAAGAATCAAATTAACTGGGACAAAAATCAATGACTCTTACTGTACTGCTGATCATTAGATCAATTTATGCAAAGGGAACAGACACATGCAGAGATACAGTAAATATACAGCTTCTTATTAAAGGTGACCTGAAAAGGTAAAGTATCAAATTCCAAAAACTTTTCTAATTTAATTCTAAATATCTAGTCTAATTAGAATCCACACAACACTGCAAGCTCAAAGACCAATGTATTTTTCACCATGAATGTGCCACTGTCCACCACTGTCATAGCTGTCCAGCACTTCCAACTATGAGGTACTGAAACCCAAGCGCTGGAGCTGCAATTTAGGCACATAAGGGTTTTAAGTATATTTCTTATTTTTCAAAAATAGAGAAGATATGTTATCATCTTCAGAGAAGAAGCCAGGAAATTTAAATGTTCTAAAGCCCTAGTCTGTCAGGTACCTGCTCTGAGATGTCTTAACTCAATCCCCAGGTTTTGGGGGTATTCAGAAACTCATAGGATGTGCTCAGCAGTGTTCTGGATCAGGCACTTGCTAGGCACAGAAATGGATGGGTAGTTCAAAGACATGCTTTTGTAGTCAGATTTGACAAGCACACCACAATTATTTTCTATGAAGTAGCAAAGGATGATTGGGAGAAGAAAATGCTAATATTAGTAAGCTAATTAACATTTTGTTCTTAGCTTCAATACAAACAAATTTTAATTTTTTACCAGTTAATAACTCTCTTTTCAACTTCTCATGCAATCCATTCTTGAAGGAAAAGAATGCAGAGCAAGAAATGGTAAAAGGGTAAACAGGAATCATAACCATCAATAAACAAGCTGGTGTGAATCAGGGTGAAATTATTTCATACAGGAAGTTATCACAAAGTTTTCTCCATTATTTTACCCTTTTAGCTGAGGAACTGACTCCTTAAGTTAAGCACATGACTGGGCTCACAAGGCCTTTCTCCCTGCAATTGCATGCAATATCTATGCTACCCTTCTAAAATCTGTGCGTTTGACAAGGGTTGATCGCATCCTACCCTCTTAATATGCATTCAGTGAAACTTCAGCCCACTACAGGTAACCCCTGCTTAGCGCTCTTAATTGGTTCCTGAAAAACTGAGTGTTAAGCAAAATGAATGTTAAGTGAAAATGAAAGTATTTGACAATCCAAGTTGGCAACCTCAAGTGTTTTTAATGACCCAAGATGGTGACCGCGAATGATAAACAAAACTCACTGAGTGCCAAGTGAAATCAGGTATCAATTTACAATGAGTGTTATAGCAAAATAGTGCGAAGCAAAACAGCTTTAAGGGGGGGGTTGCCTGTACTAAGGGTTGACCATGCAGCATATATTCATTCAACTATATTCATACATATAGTTCTTCTGACTTTGATTTAAACACCTAAGTAAATAAAGGATTCAATATTATGTTCCTAGTGATTGGTAGGTACACTGCTTAAGAAAGAAACAACAGTGATTCAGCTTTCTTAATTAAATGCCAGAAATCTAACAAGTTCTTCTCCCTCTATTTTAATCTATTTCGCTCAGTGTAGGTACCATATCCCACCACATAACAACTAGCACAAGGAGTGGTACAATTCACTTAAGTGCATATAGGCACCATACAAAATAAAAAAAATACAGATTGGCGATTTTTATCATGTAATTTAGAGTAATTGAATTGTACTTATTGATGTAATTAAAGTAAAAAGACAGGGTGGCAAGAGAACCAGACTCTTTTCCAAGGTGTTCTACAGGTTCCATAGGAGACCTTAGCCTGGCTATGTCATTTCTCTACATGTCAATTTTCTCATCTTCCTTATTTTGGAGTCACTCTTATGGAGCTAAAAAATATTTATGTTAACTGTGAACTTTTGGATCCTCAAACAGAAGGCACTATGGATGTGCCAGCATTACCAGCCTGAAAAATGGAAGAATGAATTTCTGCATTGATTATCTGATAGTTCCTCACAGATTGTTCTAGAATAGGCTGTGGTGCCTGCCCATTAAACTGGAGGACCTCCAGCAATTCACAAAAGGCCAAAGTAGTCAGTGGAGAGGTCCTTGTGCTCCACGTAACGTCTGAAACTCTACTTTGTCCTGTCAGTGTCCTTCTACTTGTACCTCATTATCAAGGATTCCTCTACTTACAGATGTTCTGAGGAGAGGACCTCCACAGAAACATAACTTAGAAAAAGTATGACTTCTTATCTCTGTAGGGCTGCTGGGAAGCCAAAGTGCAATTGT